TAAAGGTTATACTCAAAAACAAGGTGTTGATTATGAGGAAACTTTTTCACCAGTAGCAATGCTTAAATCTATTCGGATATTGCTAGCCATAGCTGCGTATTATGACTACGAGATATGGCAAATGGATGTGAAAACTGCTTTTCTTAATGGAAATATTAAGGAAGATATTTATATGAAACGACCGCAAGGTTTCATATCCAATGGGAGTGAACAAATGGTTTGTAAACTTCAAAGGTCTATTTATGGACTTAAACAAGCTTCGAGGAGTTGGAATATTCGGTTTGATGAAACGATCAAAACGTTTGATTTTCATAAGAATCCGGATGAACCATGTGTTTATAAGAAGGTTAGTGGGAGTGCAGTTACATTTGTTGTTCTATATGTTGATGACATCCTACTCATTGGGAATGATGTAGGGATGTTGCAGTTAACTAGGACATGGTTGTCAAAACAGTTTTCCATGAAAGACTTGGGAGAAGCATCCTTTATCCTAGGGATAAAAATCTATAGGGATAGATTTAAACGGATGATCGTACTATCCCAGTCGACGTACATAAATAAGGTGCTACAACGGTTTAGCATGGAAGAATCCAAACGAGGATATATTCCAATGAGTCATGGGATTTCTCTTTCTAAGACGATGTCTCCAAAGACACCTGAAGAAAGAGAACGGATGAGTCATATACCTTATGCATCAGCTATTGGTAGCATTATGTATGCAATGTTATGTACAAGACCTGATGTGGCTCATGCACTTAGTGTAACGAGCAGATATCAGTCTAATCCAGGTGAAGAACACTGGAAAGTCGTTAAGATGATTCTTAAGTACTTACGAAGGACTAAGGATATCTTTATGGTATACGGCAATGGAGAACTGAAACTAGAAGGCTTTACTGATTCTGGTTTCCAGTCCGATAAAGACGACTATAAATCCATGTCTGGATACTTATTTACTCTGAATGGAGCAGCAGTTAGTTGGAAAAGTTCCAAACAAGAAACAATTGCTGACTCTACGACAGAGGCTGAATATATTGCTTCAAAAGAAGCTGTTTGGATAAGGAACTTCATCCAAGGTTTGGGTGTAGTACCATCTGTTGTTGATCCAATAATAATTTATTGTGATAACAATGGGGCTATTGCGCAAGCAAAGGAGCCAAGATCTCATCAAAGATCCAAGCATATTATGAGGCGATACCATTTGATTAGAGAAATCATTGGTAGAGGCGATGTCGTGATGGAGCGAGTCGACTCAGCAGAAAATATAGCAGACCCCTTAACTAAACCCTTATCACAGAAAGTGTTCGAAGGACATCTTGAGAAGATGGGTCTTAGATACATGAGTGATTGGAACTAGGGCAAGTGGGAGATTGTTAGAGTAGGGTACCCGGCGTTCCAATCTAATTGGACGTATTCTACTTGTAAATACAGTCTATTGGAATTATATTATGAATAAGGCATTTCTTTATCTTAAGAGAAAGCATTTATCTTATAATTGCACTTAAGATAAAATCCCTAGATCACTTATGGTTATAAGGTATGGTTGCGCATAGAGATGGTGATCATGGAACATACCTTGAAAGCCGTGATCTTAAATACAGTTCCAAGTCGATGGATGTTTCGAGATGGGATATCGAATAATCCATAAAAGACTTGCACATAGTTTGTATGCTTGTTGGACAAGAATGTTGCATTCCATCAACATTAGCGTAAGACGTAAGTACATTTATGTGGGTGCTTGTTAGAGAACAAGTTCACTGAACATGACCGTATGAAAATTCTTAATGAAGAATTTATTCAGTCGAATAAGAATTTTCATGTTACAATAGTACATGACTAATCCTAAGACTTGAGGCACAATGGTAACTTTGTGCATATTACATTCTACTTTGATTTATCCTTTTGGTAGCTAGCACTATCGTTTAAAGGGATAAGTTGGGTATTATGTTAATATGTATGGAAGTTTGTTAGTGGCCAATAAAGGATTCGACACTTATGAAGATAAGTGAATTTCCTATGTGTTTCATAGTTATTAATCCAAAGTCCTTGGCCAAGGCAGAGATGAATAGTGATTCATAACCGGGTTAATAAACATGAAATAGAATCATAGTTATTAAGTCAATTTGGGTTTCGACAAAATCATACCCAAGACTTAATCGGGAAATTAGATGTCGAAAGGATTTTACATGTATGGAGTTGTAATCGGAATAGGTTTACTCGCTATTCACTTAATACTAGATTCATGATACTTGCTAGGTGTTACCATGATATGTGGGTTCATGAATTAAGGGGTTAATTCTTGAATAAGAGTTAATAAGATTTAACTCAAATTACAAAGTGTTGTAAACCCACTACTAGTATTAATAGTGAACCTAAAAGGTCACACTAATTATGAACAAAGGTAAAGATTGTATTTCTAATGGTTAGAATTAATTGATAAATATCTAATTTGATTAGATGTCAATTAAAGGAATATATTAATCAATAAGATTGATTAATTACATTTTGGATATTACTTTAGTAATTAAAGTAATTACTAAATTAATAAAGTTGAATTTTAAAATAGGATTTTAAATTTCAAATCCAAAATAATAATAATATGATTATTATAAGATTGGGAAAATGATATAATAATAAAGTCTTGAGAAAGATTCTCAAGATTTATTATCCAATTATTATTTATATCTTTAAATATGATTTAAGGATTAAAATAAGAAATATGATTATAATAAAATGGTTGTTAATGGTTGTTTGAACTACTTAACATATCTTATTATTTTCAAAGTCAATGGTTAGTAAATACTATTTAAATAAAATTTGATTTTATTTAAATATTACTAAATATTGATTATTTTATGCTAAAATGTTTAGTATAAATAGATGCAAAATGTTTGCAAAGATGTGAAGTGATTTTGTGAGAAAATCAAAGAGAGAAGAAAGTGTTCTTCATATATTTTAAGAAAGTGTTCTTGATAATTCCCAAAAAATATATATATATATATATATATATATATATATATTCCTATACAAGAAAACTGAGACATTTCTACTAGCGAAGAAAGGTCGTCGGAACCGGGCTTCATAGGGTGGATACGATTAGAGGGAAGACACTTGGATTCCTAAAGCGAGTAACCTCAAGTCGTTGAAGTTACAACCGGGAACCGATTCCCACAATCCACATCTTTGTTGAAGGAGTTCAAGACACTCGGTAAATATTTCGTATTAGTATTTACTTTATTATAACAAATCAAAATTTGTATATGATGCATATTTTAAAGATGACGATCTGTTAATTCGCAATTAGTATGTACGGGTGTTGTATTTATACGATAAATACTTACTTTAAAAATTTTAAATTCCGCTGCGTACAGCCCGTACGATACTAACGAACCCAACACATATGCCCACACATAAAGTACGATCATCATTTAATGACCAAGACAACCATAATAAGAATGAAGAAAAACTGATTTGGAGTTGCATACAAATATAAACAACTGAATTTTAAATTTTAGATATTTTAAATGAATCATCGTATCAAGTCCCACTTTAATGCACATTCATTACATCCATCTATCACCAAGTTAATTTTAGTCATTTAGGTGTCTAGTTTATTATTTCTAACACCATCTCAAGTAAAGCATTCAAAATGTCTGATCACAATGTCATTGAACCTCTCTGATCGGTGAGCTGTCTTCGGGCTTTGCCCGCTGGCCATTAGATACTGAAAAAATATTTTATTAGTCAGATGTGAAGAAAAAATGTATTCAAATTCTGAAAAATGAGTAAAAAAATCCTTTTTCTTGAGGATAGAAAAGTGAGAATCAATTTTTCTTCATTTTCTTTTAAGCTGCTAAAACACATACCTGAGATGATGTTCTTGCAGGAGAGCACATGGAAGGTGCCACCAGCTCAGGATCATTTTGTCTTTCTGGTCCAGGTGCCGTAAAACTGCTTTGTGTTTGCTCAGAATCCCGTAACAAACATGGCCACGTTCCTCTTAAGTAGGCTACTCATGGACGGGCTGAGGTTGAACCTCTTAGGGCATTCGATCTCCCCTTTACTCAGGTGGGGCAAACCATGCTGGCAAGTGAGCACTCCTCCAGCTGCATCAGGTCAGCAAACGATGGCTCGGGCTCATCCTGGGCTCCAGTGGTGCTGCCACTATTGACATAGGCTAAGGAGTTATGCAAGATGTTCGTGAGGACGTCCACCCCACCATAACATGCCTGTTCTTCAAAATAGCCCTCAATGCCACCTCTTCATCATAGCCCAAAGCCATGAGCTTGTTAATGGCGTTGTTATAAAGATACTCCAAATTCTTAAGTAAAATCTCCTCCAGCTGCTCCTCGGTGCAGTAACCCCACCCGTTATCTTCGAATGCAGAGATCGGGCCTATCATCGGGCTCTCGGACAAGGCCTGGAGGCCCATCTAGTAACCTTTAGGTTTTAGGTAGGTTTTGCCATTGGATGATTTCTGACATTGTTGTCGGTGTTAGCGGAGGTGGAATGATTGGGTTCGGGTTTTACCGATTGGGTCTTCAGATTTGACCGGATGTGTTCTCTCGGACGGTGCAGCCCATAGGACAGGGATCTACAAGTTCGATCGATTCAGTTAACAAAGAGCAAGAACCCTATCGAGAAAATGATAATCACGATGACAAATTAGCTACATAAACATATGCTTGATGAGTTCTGAGAAATTGGTAAAAAGGTAGAAAAAAACCAGGTAACTACCAAGAAGAAAAATCCAGGTAACTTCACCGCTGTTCTTGTTCTGAAGATCGTCAACTGGAACACATATACATACATAATCAGTCGGGCATTGTAAAAATACACAAGGAAGTAAACATAATGAAGTACATTGAACAGCGAACACCCATAAGAAATAAAGAAAGGATGCATAAAATCGCATCAGGAGGCAGAGTAAAGCTCACGGGCAATCTAGACACAATAAGCACAGGATGATTTTGTACCCGAGGAAAGAAAGCCTCAAAAGGCTCTAAGAGAACATCAGTACATACACAATAGAAAAAATGAAGGAGATCTATGAACTCTCTGTGCATAATTCTACATTATCTCAACCTACGTTTGAGCTAAAATTCCATTACCTAGAACATCAATTAACTAATCATATGAATAATATGAACCCAAATCTTCCACCACAACAATTATGAAAACGCGCAATTGCTCTAAAAAACATAGCCATCCGGTGTTTCAAGCACAAGAATCCAATGAGAGAAATCTCAAAATAAATGAAGAAGCGAAAAAAAAAAGCATGAATAAAAAAGAGCAATACTGCAAAAAGAGATTTGTTCTCAACTTCCCAATCGGAATCTTCTTGATGAATTTTGAGCGACGATGCAGCGAATCTACGGCGTAGGAACTAAAATTCGTCCTCGTCCTCGCCGGAGAAGCACGTCGACATGCCGACATCCGAGGCGCCTGCGTGGGTCGACGACTACGTGACTAGAAAGTGGAATCGGCTGCCATTGGCGAGGAGGGCGTGGATCTGGTCGTCGGAGGGCTTGAGGCCGAGAGACCAGAGGAGGGCGGCGAGCTCGAGCTGGGTGAGGCTACCGTGGTGGCCCATGTCGAACCACTGATGTCGTGGAGCTGCCGGATCTGTTCCGATTGGAGCTTGGTCATAGCGATTTGGCCGGGGAAAATTTTGGGATGAGAAAGAGAGACATTATCTTCATTTTTTTTCTCCTGCGAATCTTTTGGATTGAAAAAATCAGATTTTAGAAATAGATAAGTCAAATAAGTTGAAATCAATCAATAAAATCTCAAAAAATTTTGAATTGCATGGGCGGGCTTATTCATTTTTTTGCCAAAAATCCTGCTCTAAACTTTAGGCGGGAATTGAAATCTTTTTTTTGATGATTTTTTGGTTGATTTTTTCAAACAAATATCATTCCCTCTTTATATATTAATAGATGTTTTAGTGAGATAATATATTAATTATTTTACAAGCTATCCCTAACATGCTCATATTTAGGGGGTTGTATTCAATTGAGATTTTTAAGGACTTTTTAAAACTTTTTAAATTTGGTGACTTTTGTAGACTTTTTAAAACTTTCATGACTTTGGTAGATTTGTTGAGACTTTCAGAGAATTCTCATTAGTGACTTTTTAAGACTTTCATAATAAACTTTTTAAAACTTATTGAGACTTTTGTATACTTGTAGTTATAATATTATATTTGGAAATGAAACATTAATAAACGTATATAATAACTAATATCAAGAAAAAATAAATGAAAAAAAAATTTATATATTAATCCTCTAAAAATTTATGAATCAACTCATTGTTATACGAAATGAGTTACTCACTAACAAATTGTTTAGGATTTTTAGATTTATTAAACGAGCAAATCAATCCGAGTTTCAACGAGCCGAACTATGGAATATACAAACATTGTCGAAAAACAGTAATTGTATTTTATAAGGTAATAAATAATTTTCAAAATAATTCAATATCAACAAATAAATTATTAGAAAATAAAATAATTTTATTAATATTAAAAAATAAACATTAACAAATAAAAAGAGAGAACAAATAAATTATTTGCAAGTGCAAACTATGGAAGCATTTAACCTTTAGAAAATCAAATTCGCAAGATAACAAAACGAAAGAATAAAGGTATACATACATAATAACCATAATAAAAATATATATAAAATAAAGATCACGTTAAATATAAGTAATGAAAATAAAAATTATACAAGGTATCAAAATAAATGATGAAAATAATAAAGCATGAAAGTGATATGAGATATAAAGTCGTGTTAGAAAGAAAAAAGAAATGGAGCGTGAAGAGAATCACATAAGTCCAGCAAAATCTCACCAATATTGATGAGATTTCTGTTGGGACTCTCTCTTTGTAATTTTGAGAGAAAAGTCTCTAAAAGTCTCACAATTTAAAAAGTCTCACAAAGTCTTCATCTTTTGAATACAGGGTGACTTATAGAGACTCTCAGAAAGTTTTAATTGAATACCCTAAGACTTTTAATGACTTTTTAAAAGTCTTTAAAAGTCTCAATTGAATACATGTAAACTTTTTAGAAGTCTCTATAAGTTCTAATTGAATACACCAGGATTCTGAAAGTCTTAAAAAGTCTCTAAAAATTGAAATTGAATACACCCCCCTTAATGTTCTGGCTAAAAAAACAACGCTGGTTAAAAGATGTGAAAAAAAAAAAACTTCTAATAACCCTATTGTTTTTTGGACTTAACGTTGATTAAAAGAGGTAGAAAATAGATAATAACCCTATTATCTTTTAGACTTAAACGGACAAACTGTGAAAATAACTCAGTTAATATCTCTGTCCCGTGCATCGCACGGTACGTACTAGTTTGGTTTAAAGTGTTGCTGTTTGTGGCCGAGCCTTGGTCATGCGCCTATCATGCTGCTCATGTTAATATGCTGGGTATGTTTATTGTGTAATGTTGAAGAGTTTTGATCCTAATTACACATACGTAAAATTTTTATTAAATAATATTGTTAATGTACATGTTTTAATTATTATGCTTGTAGGTGAGTTAAACATGGTGTTAGTGATGTTGGTCATGGGCTACAATATTATGCTTACTGGATATTGATTGGATTACAACCTGTGACCGATATTTTGTTGTTATTATTAATCATCTCTATGAAAAGTATTACTAAGATGTGTAGTTGTTTTTCCTTTAGTTATGTTCTGATTTTGAAAATTCTTAGTCATAATTCGAACAAATGGAGATAAGATTCGAGCTTGGATAAGTCAAGAAAAGAGTTAGAAATTTATGTGATTTTATCTGCTTATATTTGACTGCATTATGTGTTTTTATCTGATAAATTTGCCTTCCTTATATGCTATTAAGCGCTCTATTTGTCGTGCTTGTCTGTAATCAAAACCCATAGTAATAAGACTTAATTATAAAAATATAGGTTTTTGTGTAGTCAAGCCCTCTGCATACATTCGTCTGCATATCATGTTTGTCGTCTATTTCGACTAATCAGGTGGGCCATGTATGTTAATTTCTATAAGTATGCATGTGAACCGGTAGTCTATGAGGCCTAACTCTAGCCTTTAGAGAGAGCAGTCCTGGTGTGGGCGGCTCTAGTCCTGGGGTGGGCGGCTCTAGTCCTGAGGTGGACGGCTTGTTCCTATCTTTCCTGGTGTGGGTTGATAGGATAGAGGGGTGATCCAATGAGCATGGCTGTGTTTAGGGAGAGTAGACTAGTCGATTTCCTTACATACTGCGACCATGATTTTAAAGTCTTTATATTGATTACATGGGCGAATTTACATTAATCAATAGGGGGGCAATTGCCCCCCGTCAAATTTTTTTTTTTTTACTATTATAATTAAAAAATTTAATTTGCCCCCCTCTTATATTATTTTTTACACCCCAAGATTTTTTGTTTTTAAACGTCACACACAAGTAGTGCTGTAAATGAACCGAACCGAACCGAACCAAGCTTGGGTTGTTCGAGCTTGTGTTCGTTTATGTTCGAACAGTGTTCGTGTTCTTTCATTTATTTTCGAGCAAAAAATCGTGCTTGAGTTCGTTCGTTTAATTGTTCATCAAGGTTCGAGTTCGTTCGTGTTCGAATAATATAATACATAAACTTTTTACATATGCTTGATTAACTCGAAATTTGTTCATTCCAACTCGAAAATAAAAGAATAAAATAAAAATATTAATATATTTTAGATTTTTATTAAAAGTATTACGTATATATATAAAAAATAAATAAACTTATATTAAATTTTAGATTTTTTGTTAAAAATATTATGTAAATATAAAAAAATAAAATAAACTTATATTAAATTAATGTTCGCGAACATAATCGAACATTCACGAACGAGCTCGTGTTCGTTCGATTATTAAACGAGCCTAATTTTCTATTCGAACTCGGTTCGATTAACTAACGAACGAGCTCTTGTCGAACACGAACGAGCTCGAACTAGCTTTTGTTCGGGAACATTCGGTTCATTTACAGCTCTACTCACAAGGCCAACAATTGTAATTATAAGGTAAATTGTTTTATGTATTTTTGTTATCTTTTACAAATTATGTCATGTCTTTTGCCCCCTCTCAACTAATTTTCTGGTTTCGCCTTTGATTGATTATACTACATGGTATGGTGAGCTAAGTTGCTCACCCCCACTATTAACCATTTTC